CATAAGCTACCCTTTTCTCTTTTATCACACCCTTTACTTCATCATTCCACCAATCACTCCTCTTTCCTCCTGCACCCACCCTCCTATTGCTACAACTTCTGCCCCACATTCTAATGCTGCATTTTTAAAACTATTCCAACCCTCTTCAATTCTCCCCCCCCCCCCCACTACTCATACTTGCACCAGCCCACCTTTCTGCCAATAGTTGCTAATATATCCACCCTAACTTCCTCCTCCCTTAGTTTATACACTCACCTCTCTCTTACTTGCTGTTGCCATTTTCCTTTCATCCCATATACCTCTTACTCTAACTGTAGCTACAACTAAACAATGATCCAATATATCAGTTGCCCCTCTACAAACATGTACATCCTGAAGCCTATCCATCAACCTTTTATCGACCAACACATAATCTAACAAACTACTTACATTACGTGCTATATCATACCTTGTACAGTGGACCCCCGGTTAACGATTTTAATCCGTGCAAGAGGGCTCATCGTTATGCGAAATAATCGTTATGCGAATTAATTTTCCCCATAAGAAATAATGGAAATAAAATTAATCCGTGCAAGACGCCCAAAAGTATGAAAAAAAATTTTTTTTACCACATGAAATGTTAATTTTAATACACACAAACTGAAAAAGGCATGCACAATTACATGACACTTACTTTTATTGAAGATCTGGTGATGATTGATGGGATGGGAGGAGGGGAGAGCATTATCTTCTTACTGTTTAGAAGGGGAATCCCCTTCCATTAGGACTTGAGGTAGCAAGTCCTTTTCTGGGGTTACTTCCCTTCTTCTTTTAATGCCACTAGGACCAGCTTCAGAGTCACTGGACCTCTGTCGCACAACAAATCTGTCCATAGAGCTCTGTACCTCCCGTTTCTTCAAGACTTTCCTAAAATGGGCCATAACATTGTCATTGAAATAGTCACCAGCACGGCTTGCAACAGCTGTGTCAGGGTGATTTTCATCTATAAAGGTTTGCAGTTCAAACCACTCTGCACACATTTCCTTAATCTTTGAAGTAGGCACAATGGATTCCACAACTGGCATAGGCTTCTCAGGGTTAGCCCCAAACCCTTCAAAATCTTTCTTAATTTCCATACTAATTCTCACCCTTTTTACCACAGGGTTGGCACTAGAAGCTTTCTTGGGGCCCATGGTCACTTATTTTCCAGAAACACCACCGAAAACACTGTAATAATACGAAATATTCCGAGTGTATGCTTGGATGTTACCGCGGAGGCTGGCTGGTAAACAATGGGACGGCCGGCACATGTGAGGGCACATTGGACGCGTCTCGGACGAAAATCGGTATGCGGGTTTTTAATCGGTATGCGGGGCAAAAATTTTGCGATAAAAGTAATCGTTATGCGGAAAAATCGCTATGCGATGCCATCGTTATGCGGGGGTCCACTGTATACTTATTTATCCTCTTTTTCATAAAATATGTATTACTCATTACCAAACCTCTTTCTACACATAGCTCAATTAAAGGCTCCCCATTTTCATTTACCCCTGGCACCCCAAATTTATCTACTACTCCCTCCACAACATTTTTACCCAGTTAACATTGAGATCCCCAACCACAAGTACTCTCTCACTTGGTTCAAAACTCCCCATGCACTCACTCAACATTTCCCAAAATCTCTCTCTCTCTCCTCTATACTTCTCTCTTCTCCAGGTGCATAAATGGTTACTATAGCCCACTTTTCACAGCCAACCCTTATTTTACTCCACATAATCCTTGAATTTATACATTTATATTCCTTCTTTTCTTGCTATAACTTACCCTTCAACATTATTGCTACTCCTTATTTAGCTCTATTTGAAACCCCTGACCTAATCCCATTCATTTCTCCCCACTAAAACTCTCCCACCCCCCTTCAGCTTTTGTTTCACTTTGAAAATATTAAAACAAAATTGTCAGGAGAAAGATATGAGAAAAATGAAAAAGGAGTTTAATACAACACATGGCAAAGCTTACAGGATTGTATCATCTGTGAAAAGACAAGAAAAATTAAAATAAAAGAAATACTGTATATGAGAGAAGACAACAGAACACTGCTATATTAGTGTGATAACATACCTCCTTCCACTGGTAGGAGATATATAGTCAGAGCACCCATAATAACTCCCCTAACATTTCAGCCTAACTTCACTTTACATTAAGTTTTCTTTGAGGTAGCATCAATAACCAAACAATGCCTCCAAACTTATAAATACCGTTTCTTTTATTTTAGGTTAGGTTCAGATGGTTCATATTTGGTTAAGTTACACAAACCTATAAAACATATAGCTAACCAAAAATAAGCAAATTAAAATAAATGACCATGACACATTTGGCAACCTTAGTGTAACCAGGAAACCTTCAAATCTGCATGACTGTCACTTGTAGTGAGAATGAGTTGCACATTCAGTGAAGAGAAAATGAAACAGGAACTGCCATGTCTCAACTGAATTATGAACACAGGTACAGGTAATACAGTAAGGAAAGGAACATGTGTGTGCTGCTGAAACACTGTAAAAACCTACATATTTTTGTGAATGTGAGTTAGGAAAAAAAATATACCTCTGATGAGTTTCAAGAGTCTACTCCCAGAGCTCGGCCATGGTGTGGACCCACAGACTACAAACCTGGCTATCCAGTAAATACTTAAGATTGTCTCTTATCTGAAATAACCTGAAGTGACATCCTTAGATATCTACAGCATTACTTATCTGCAATCTCTTAAACTCATTAGGATAATTTTTACCTTAAAATGTCCATTACATATAATATTTTTCACTAACTTCTAATCTCAAGAAAGCCTTTGGAATATAAAAAGTAAATTCATCTGAGACTCAGTGCTCACTGGGAAATTCCACTGATGACCCAGCACACCTGAAAATTGATGAAGCTTGGCTATTCATACTTCAGACATCAGCCTAATCAGTGGTAAATCATGATACTGGGAAGTAACCAATCCTCTCTCTTTCTATAAGCCTCCTCTTTTTTTTTTTATTTTACCCTTATTCTTAATTATGTGGAAACCTATGAGGTGACATTATTAAGAAGAGTACCATGGATGATGTATTTTATTATGTTGGTACACATTAAGATTAAAGTGTTATACCTTGCAATGTGTACATCATAAGGATTAATAATTGTCATATAGGGTATAAATTATTACTCTACAGTAAACCCTCTCACAACACTTAGGACATGTTTCTGAAAATCGGTGCCCTATGAAAATTAGTGCTCCTACCTGGAGTCTACCTGGAGGGTGTTCCGGGAGTCAATGCCCCCACAGCCTAGTCTTTGACCAGGCCTCCTGATAAAAAAGGGCCTGATCAACCAAGCTGTTACTACTGGCCATACACAGTCCAATGTATGAACCACAGCCTGGCTGATCGGGTACTGACTTTAGGTATTTGTCCAACTCCCTCTCAAAGGCAGCCAAGGGTCTATTGGTAATTCCCCCTCATGCCTGGTGTACTCTTAGTGTACTAATGGTGGCCCTACTTTTCACTGGGGGTATATTGCACCATCTGCCCAGTCTCTTGCTTTTGTAGGGAGTGATTTCTTTGTACAGATTTGGGACCAGTCTCTATTATTTTCCAGGTCTAGATTATGATGTATTTCTCTCGCCTGTACTCCAGTGAGTACAGGTCAAGTGATTCCAAGCGTTCCCAGTAATTAAGGTGTTTGACAGAACTTATATGCGCAGTAAAGGTTCTCTGTACATTTCCTTGATCTGTGATTTCTCCTGCCTTGAATGGAGATGTTAGTGTACAGCAGTATTCCAGCCTAGAGAGAACAAGTGATTTAAAAAGGATCATCACTGGCTTGGCATCCCTTGTATTGAAGGTTCTCATTATACATCCTACCATTTTCATAGCAGATGTGATAGTGACACTGTTATGATCCTTGAAGGTAAGATTCTTTGACATTAACATTCTCAAGTCCTTCACACTACTTTTAAGATTTTATTTTAACACACCAGGCATCTCCCACCGAGGTGGGGGGTGACCCAAAAAAGAAGAAACATTTTCACAATCATTCACTTTATCCCTGTCTTGCCAGAAGCATGCTGATACTATAGTTCAGATTATAGGGGAAAAAAAAAACACTAACATTCCTCACACTTCCAAATTTGCAAAACTGCTATTTTAATAGTTTACTAGGTAAAAATTACAGCAGTTTATCTAAACAGATGGACTTTCAGTTGTTACTTGAGGCATCCAAAGAGCTTGGAGAACCTGGGAGTTGGGAGCAACATTCATGGCTCCATGAGCAGATTGTGAAAATTGATGGAGAGTATTACCCAAGTTTTATATGTTACCTAATATTGTTTTTTATATTTACAATGTGCATTATCAAGTTTTTTGTAGCCCGCTATTAAATTTGGATACATCCTCACAACTGCATTTACTAGAAATTGCACTATGTGATGTCATATACATGCAACACTTTTAAATGCTTGCATATCACTCTGTAGTATACTGTACTTCAAGCTTTTAAGTGATCATCCTATTATACTTCATGCTATTTATTTTTTTCATTCTTTATTCAAATAGCCAGAAGGTAATGATGTTACGGCATTTATATGTACCACTGAGCACTTCTTTATTAATATCAACAAACAGATTACAGTGCCATTTTATTGGCATCCTAGCCCAAAGGAACTACATGCAATGTTTAGAATTCGCAAAACAGGTGAAATATTCACAAACACTAATCTCTGGTCGAAGGAGACATGCATGTTTATGAACAAGAACACAATCGATGCAGTAACTCAAATCAAAGATATTTACTCTCCACTCTGATAATGTTACTTATGTCATAAGTAGCATGGTTTGTTATCTAACTAGATGTAAATGTCATAACTGCATTAATGCATCTTATCAGTGTACAAGAGTCTTATGTGTAAATGATTTTTCTATTCAACTATTTCTCATTTTAAAATTTAAATATATTTTAACACAGTTAAACAGCATCCACAGTACCATAAGAAGGCATGTCTTCAATGGCGGTTACAAGTGCAGAGTGCTGTCTGCGAGCTTCCTCCAACACCTCAGCAACCTGCGTGAAGGCATCCAAGACAGCTAGTCCCATGGATGGGGGTGAAGTAACTTGGTGTGTACTGCTGCTATTATTACTCCCTGGTGTACGGTGCTCTCGAGGAGCCAGTGGCGGATGATTCTTGAAAAAAAAAATTATCAATATCTTTATACTGAACATTGAAATCCTTCCCTCTAAATATAACTGAAAAATAGTCTTCAGTATAGTAACAATTCTAATTATTCTATTACATAAACAAAATTAAAATAAGTGAGTATCCCACCATTTCAGTCTGATAAAATTAAGCTTTTAACATACCTTTACGATCTGATCATACAGTATTAATTGCCCAGTAACAGAAAAATCTATTAAAAATAATGATACAGCCAAACATGCAGCTCAGTAAAATATATCCCTGCATATACATTTGATTGGCTTGCTAAGTTTTAGCTTCTACATAAAATATTTAATATCTAGTGCTTGAATAGGGTACTTTTCAAGATTAAGCTATATAGTCACCTTAAAACAACTGTTGACAAATAGCCACACTGTCCTGGGGCTCCCTAGTTCACTAAACAACATTTCACACATTACAAGATGGAAGAGCCATTTTCTGTATATTTTACTGCAATTCTGAAAAATCACTAATCAAGGTACATGATCTTTGACATAAAAAGTCAAATTTTTGCACCATAAAAAATCTGAGTATACAATGAATCTTTCAAACCTTGGGGCTTATAAAAAAAATTAAAAAAAAATTTCACTGTACTGTATAATATACCTGACTTTAAGAAGACTCCTTTAAATATGCCTACAATACTTAAGACAATATTTAAGAAAAATTAATCTATAAAGAATCAAGCCAAAATACATACATGAGCAATAGCCCGTGTATGCATCTCGGCTACAACTCGTAGTCGATTGAGCCACATCTGCCGGTCCCTCGTGTCAGTGGCTCGTAACTTGTAAGATTCCCCTGCAGCTGGAGATACAGTGAAGGTATATGAATCTTCATCACTTGGAGAAATAACAGCTCCTGCCAACTGGATGCTGCCACGAGCTCTTTCATGTTTGTCGCTTTCACTCTGAAAATTAATGTAACTCAAATTTGTTAATGTTATCCATACAAATCTACAGGATAATATATATAGTAATATAGCGTCTCCTCACTTAACGACAGAGTTCCGTTCCTAAGACCACATCAGTAAACGAATTCACTGGTAGTGGATTTGTGTCAACCATCTTTGATATTGTTTTAGTGTCATCTCTGCACCATTTATAACATTTTAGTATATTTTTAGATGTTTATACAGCAGTGTACTGTATATTGTAATAAACAGAATAGAGGAATCAGCTCTAATATACATTATTTAGGTATGCCTACTGGTCAGAGAGCCCGTCCTAAGTCAGAGTCATTGATAAACGAGTATGTTGCTAAGTGAGGAGAGGCTGTAATAATAATAATAATAATAATAATAATAATAATAATAATAATAATAATAAAAATATATCCCCATAACAAATTTTGTTTCAGATTTGGGTTCAATTTGCAGTTCAGAAATCACATCTTCGCAGTATGATACTTCACTTTTTATTTAGTTTTTAATTTAGGGTTAGTTTTTAATTTAGGAGTGCCAAGCCTCTGAAAAAAAAAAAAAGAGATCACTAATTAAATCAGTTCATGGCTTGCCTATCAGTGCAAATGTTGGATGAATGACAACCACATACAAGGAATCCCACAAATCAATAAGTATGGCCATACAATACTTTTTTTTTTTTAATGAACTAGTCATACCCCACTGAGGTAGCATGACCCAAAAAAGAAAAACACTTTCACCATCATTTACAAATAATCACTGTCTTTGCAGAGGCACTTAGATACAACAGTTTAGATATCACTCCATTCAGCCATAGTACTACGGCTTTGAGGTCATGTCAGTGCCATAGTTGAGGTTACTATCAGTGCCATAGTACTATGCCATGAGGTCATCTCACTCAGATAAGCTGTGAGAAGTAAATCTGATCCTAGATATGAAAGAATGGGTCTATGTGATAAGTGTGCACCATATAAAAAAAATCCTGCAGCATGCAGCGCACGAGAAAAAACTGCAACCATGTTTTTGGTTTAACCCTTTGACTGTTTTCGACGTATAAAAGTGTCTTACGAGCCAATGTTTCTGACGTATATATACTCAATAATTCTAGCGGCTTCAAATCAAGTGGGAGAAAGCTGGTAGGCCCACATGTGAGAGAATGGGTCTGTGTGGTCAGTGTGCACCACATAAAAAAAATCCTGCAGCACACATTGCGTAATGAGAAAAAAAAAACTCTGATCGTTTTTTTGGAATAAAACGCCGACTTTGAGGTGTATTTTCGTATAGTATTTATCGTTGTATTCGCGTTTTCATGGTCTTAGGTGATAAAATGGAAAACATATTACAGAAATAGAGATGATTTTCATTACTTTTACGATGAAAACGACATTGAAACTGAGCTCAAAGTAGCGGAAATGTTCGATTTTTACCAATGTTCAAGAGTAAATAAATCACACCACATGTCCAATACACGTCAACTGGGGAGTCTAATATTCTTTCACTAGTGCACTGATATTATTTATACCATTTTTACAATAATGCAGTCGTCTGCATAACAGTAAATTTTGTATTTTTTTGTATGAATAAAAAATCAAAATAGAAAGCAATAATAATATAAGAGGGGCCTAGAGATGTGACTAACGAACAGAGCATATGTTATTTTAGTGCCACGAATGTCTACCTTGTTTATTCTGGACCCTATTTTGAAATTGGCATCTTTTTTATTTTGCGTGAAATTGGCCAAATTGCCAATTTCTGACCACCATATTGGGTAGTCCAAATTAGTAAATGGGAGGTTTCTTGTACTCAGCTGATAGATAAAATGGAGTTCTAAAGAAATAGCTATGAGTTTGGTCAACTGGAACAATGGAATTGGCTGAAAATTGGGCTCAAAGTCGGCGAAATCGCCGATACGCATATGTCGCCGAGACCGCTAACTTCGCGGGAGCATAATTCCACGAGTTTTCGACCAAATTTCGAACTTTTGGTGTCATTACCATCGGGAAAAGATTCTCTATCATTTCATAAGAAAAAATAATTTTTTTTTTTTCAAAAATTGAGCGACATAGAATGACAGTTTCAGAGAGGGGCCTGAAACAGTCAAAGGGTTAAAACAGTGGCTTTGAAATGTATTTTTGTATGGTTTTTATGGTTGTATTCTTTGTTTTTTGGTATCTTTTGATAGAAAGAAAGATATATTACAGAAACAGAGATGATTCTGATTGAAAATAGCTTGAAATTGAGCTCAAATTAGTGGAAATGTTTAAATTTTGCCGATGTTTAAGGGTAAACAAATCAAGTCATACATCTAATACACGTCAACTGGTGGGTCTAATATGCATTCATGAATGCACTGATATTAATTATACAATTATTACAATATTGCATAACAGTAAATCTTCTATTTTTTGTGTGAATAAAAATTCTGTGTGAATAAAATATCAAAATGGAATTCATGTGTAAAGCCTGGGAATGTAACTGATGAATAGAGGAAACATAGCTTTAGTGCCAGGAATGCCTGCATTGTTTATTCTGGACCCTATTTTGAAACTGGAAAATTGTGAAATTTATGTGAAACTGGCCAAATTACCAATTTCTGATCATTTTAGTGAATAGTTGACATGGTTGATTACGCAATTTCTTGTGCTCAATCAATAAAATGGAAGACATACTAGAAAAATAGCTAAGAATTTGGTGGACTGGAACAAAGTAACTGGACTAAAATGGGACTCAAAATGGACAAAATCGCCGATGCATAAATATCGCTGATGTAGAAAAATTTGCAAAAGCGTAATTTCATCAATTTTTAATCAAATTTCGTACTTTTTGTCTTATTACCTTTAAAAAAATATTCTCTACCTTTTCATAAGAAAAATACTAATTTTTTTTTTTTTTTTTAAATTCTTGGACATTGTGGACAAGTTTTGGATCAGGGTCTGGACAGTGAAAGGGTTAAAGTGTAAGCACTGTACTTCCCACCTCCAGGACTCAACTCCAGCTAACAGGTTTCCCTGAATCCCTTCACATATTACACTGCTCATACTCCAACAGTTCATCAGGTCCCAAGAACCATTCGTCTCCATCCACCCCTATCTAAAATGCTCACAAATGCCTGCTGCATGTCCAAGCCCTTTGCATACAAAACCTCTTTTACCTCCACCCTCCATCCTTTCCTAGGATGACCCCTACCCCTCCTTCCCTCCCAGTTATCCTATTTTGATCCATCCTCTCTAAATGACTAAACCACCTCAACAACCTCTCTTCATATTTTGCTACATTCCTCCATTTCTGGTGTCTTAAGCTGAAATCACCCAACAGCAAGATGTTTGGGGCAGGAGTTACGAGATTTTCCAGACAGTGGTAAATTTTCAAAAGTTGTTCCTGGAATTGTTGGGAAGCTGCCTCAGGAGGCTTGTATACAACCACAATGACAAGGTTTTGGTTTTCAATTTTTACTGCCAAAACTTCAACTACATCGTTTGAGGTGTTTAGTAGTTCTGAGCAGATGAGAAGCTCTGTGAAGTACAGGCCAATCCCCCTCCCCTTGTTGCTGTTTACTCTGTTACATCTGAATAGTTTATGACCTGGAATCCATATTTCGTTGTCAAAGTGATCCTTTATGTGGGTCTCTGTGAAAGCTGCACACATTGCATTTGGCTCTGTGATGGCTTTAGACCCTGTATATTTGCAAAAATAAATGTAGTCACATTGATGCTATGTAGGGAGGATTTGTTTGCTGGCACTAATATCTGTTGTGCTGGAGTGGAGGCCATTGACTGTGTCTCCTCTCCAGAGGTGTTCTGAGTTGGTGTAAGATTTCTGTCATTTCTTACCAGCTTTTTTTTTTCCTTCCTAGCACTAAAACACCTCTGGCTCTAGAGTGGTTGTGGCTACCCTGGTTTGTTTCCCATGATCTAAGTGATCCGTATCTTCTTGTCCCCATTAGGCAGTATGCCTGACAGTATGTGTTGCAGCATTGCCTTTCATGGACCGAAGAGTAACACATTTCAGGGTGAAATACATTACAAGAAGAGTTGCATTCTCCTGTTGTTATGCAGGCACCGCATTTTTTGAGATGGTCAAGCTGCACATCTCACCTGTTCTTCCAGATATTCCATGCCTACAGATACCCAAGGCACAGAATTTGCATAGATTTGATTTCTGTTAGCCAGGATTTTTTGTGGGTGTGCTTCCTACTGGTACATTTTTTCTAAATCCCCACTATCAACAGCACCTGTACTAACAGCAGTGCCTCCACTAATTTTTACTGGTAATGTATCAATACTACTCCCCAAAGCATCATCCCCTTTTTTTGTCATCTCCAGTAGTAATGCTATTTTGTAACTCTGGAATTTGCATATCTTTGTCTATACCTGTTTCTCCAGCACCAGGACCCCTATCTCCATCTGGTACAATGACTTTCATTTCTGCATTCTTACAAGTACTGTCCTCCAAGACAGCTTTATCTGACCTTTTACTTACCAACTGTTATACAAGACTGTCAAGTTTTCTAAGAAGGATATTTTGGTGTTTCTGTTTTTCAGTATAGATGTAATTTTTCAGTATAGGTGTCTAACACTTGGGCAGACCCAAAAACATTTTCCTGAATTAATATCATTAGTGGATGATTGATGAATGCCTACACATGATCCACAAGACTATTTTTCACAGAAGTTGCACATAACTCACGTGAGATCTTGCTTTATTACTGCTGCAGATTACACAAATTTTCATGGTATTTTTTTTTCAATGTTTGATATACAGTATATACAGTGGAACCTCTACTTACGAGTTTAATCCGTTCCATGACCTTGCTCGCAGCTGGATTTGCTCGTTTACAAAGTCAAAGTCAGTTTTCCTCATTTAAATTAATTGAAATGAAATTAATTCGTTCCAGTGGAATTCCAAGCATGAGAAAATACTTTAATAATTTCCCTAATATCATCTCTAGAGCTTATTTATCTATCACAATTCATGTAATATGACATAAT